CGCCGTGCACCTCGCATACTAGGAACAAGTCAGCTCCCTCCGGGTAAGACTCGAGAAGTTTGCTCATGTCTCGCCTCTTCGCATCATAGATTATCGGCTTCGCTGGTGGCACTGTAAGCAGAAAAACAGAGCGACGTGTGAGCGACGCGCAAGTTATCCAGCTGTTGAAAATTGACGCTGTCGCTAAGCACGAAGCCTGAAAAAAATTTTTAAAGAAGACAGCCTAATTTCAGAGTGTAACAATTTTTTTTGTGTATTTGAAATTCTTGTATTCAATACGAACAAAAAAAACGCAGCACGAGATGCGAACGATTCTTAAACAGTACTTATTTGCGCACAATTTTAATATCTTAATACTAGTCGAGGCACCGATATATAGTTTTTACCGCCGAAATTCAACCAAAGTGTAAACGCAAACAAGCTGGTGAGAGAGTCTTGTCCCGATATGTTGAATGGAAATTGCCTCCGGCTATTGTCGCAACGTCGACGCGTCTCGTAGATTTTCACGAGCGGGCGAAACTCGATAAGCAAAACTCGCCGCGGCTTCTCGATGCTCAAAGCAACGAAATATTCCGATTCGGTTTACGGCAGCTTCGCGGTGACACGTGCAACCGCTGATGTCGATCGCGGCCACCTGTGCGCCCGGATCATGTAAGCCTAGGAGAAATCGACTTCGCTTTCTCCTTTGGGATTCGCGAGTTCGAGATTTCGTGAAAATCATATTTATGCAGATGGTCCGAGAAATCGCGGTGCTTTCCGCTTCGAACGAAGTGTGTTGTGTACCACTATCGCGTCTCCTCGGCGTGTGACTTGTTTGTTCATATTGTCGACGATCGTGCACGAGCGCAGTATCTCAAGCGACGATATTTTTGGGACGTGTTCTACGAGCACAAACAAAGGTCGCTATTGTCGACGTGTGCTCAAAGCTTTGCGGCACGAGACATGTCGCGACGGAATATGATATTGTACAAATATAAGACTTCGACTTACACAAAGCAAACAATGCATTGACACAGTCATGTCGAAAACGGACTGTGTCACGATTATGTTATTCGACCTCTAATTTGATATAATTCTCGATAAAATTTCTTGTAATAACGTTAAAAACTACGAGTATAGACAAATTTTTAGTCCCTCGCCGAACATAAGCATTCTTAGGAGCAAGTTGCTCATTAAAGATTTTTTCTGCCAAAAGTAAAACCGTATTGTCTGATAATTAAATTAGTGACGTGGAAAGAATTCAATTATCATTGTCCGAATAATTGACGTCTACGATTCGAGGACGCGTCGATGATCGCCGATTGATAAGACTATAGCTCGAATCGATATGCTGAAGAGCTGGCAACTTCTCCAGAAGAGGAGAGCAGAAAGAAACTCAGGTTCCCACCGGGATTCTCTAGACGGATGTCGTAATCTCGGCGAAGATTACACGAACGCAGGCCCGCGCGAAGCGACGCTTTAATGGCGCTAATACCTAGCATTCACGGCCTTTTATGGCGGCGTTTATCCGTCGGGGAGATATCCGTCGCTCCGTGCGACACTCTTGGAACGCGAATTTTATCTCGCCCTTCTAACCCTCTTGGAATCCGCCGACCATTGTTACCTCCAACAACCGACTCGCTTGCGAGAGAAAAAATCCGAAAGAGACGCACTCGACGTTCCTGACCGACAAAGATGACGAGGGGTTCGCGCACGTCCGATCGAAAAAAACGCTCTCACATTCTCACGGAAAGATTTTACACAAATGTATTCTCATATATACGACTATTCTTATCACGTTTCGTTTGAACGTTGCGGAAAAATGTTCTTTTTTTTTCGAAATGAGCTGCTCTCTGATAGCGCAGTGAAGTTAAATTCCCTTGAGAAGTAAATCTCATGGTTTTACGGGTTTTGCAATATCATATTTTGCAAAATGCATTGTATACAATATCATATCAAGCGCTAATTAGTAGTAACTTCTCGCGTTCCGTGGCTAATTATAAAATAAATTGCCGTTCGCGGAAACGCTAATCTTATGAATATTCAGGCGAGTGTTAGCAGTGTTATCGCGATATTATCATATTGTTATTCTACGTATACACGCGTATCGAGCGTAATCGAACCGATTACACGGCTGTCCATCGGGAAACGTCATTCCATTGACTTATTGATATAACCCGAAATATATAACGTCGCGATACGTGCCGCGTGGAAGGTTCGAAATCTTAGCGGCGTAACCTCTCCGAGAGACCCACTCATTAATCTTCCCGCGTGCGATTTGTTCTCCGCCCGAGTTTTACATATTTATTACCGTCCGCGGAGCGACTATTTTGGTATTCGACCCGTTACGTCGTCGAGCTCGCGGCATCGAAACCTCGCTAAAACCCCACCAAAGTCATACAAAACGTCCTATGTGCAAAGCTCGGGAGCAATCTCGGACGATCTCCACCTCTCCCTCGCCCTACATAGCGCGTATACATATATGATTCGCGGGATTCACGTGTCTTCTACGATAGAAGGAGATAGAGAGAGAGAGAGAGAGAGGTGGTGAATAGTCCTGTGGTTCACGTACGTTAAAGGGTAAGCCGCTCCGGTTCGCGAATCCCTCTGACGTTTCCCTCGGAATCTCGCGGGATGGCTCGGAGAAGGCGAGAAGGCGAAGGTAACATATGCGGGCTTCGGTATCCGCGGTACGAACTTTTACGGAACATTCTGCTGTACAGTGGAGAGCCACCGGGATACGAAGCTGTCTTGTCGGTACGGTCGTTTTATAAATGGGCGACACGAGGTGGTGCACCTGAAAAGTCGACGCTCGCTAGTTTCTTGCGGGGATCATGTTTCAGTATGTCTTTTGCTCTTATTTTCCTTTGCTTTATGGGTCATGTGAACACGTTTGAGTGCTGCAAGAGTACTTATTTACCGCAATTTTCCGCAGTATTACTCGCCTAGTAAAAGTCAAAAACATTGATCAACTAATTAAAAATAATAAACATATGTATTTCTGTGCAATTATAATTTAAACCAAGTTTTCTCTATTAAAAATCGTGATACATCGGATTGAGTATTGTTGTGCGATAAACTTCCGGCAAATTATCACTGTGCATTCGACACCTTTTGGGAATACTTGAAACGGTGCTTAGCTATCAGCTGGCAAATCAACAGGCCGCTGTTCCAGCAGCGTTAAGGACGAGAAGTCGGTCAGAAAATCGAGAAGAATTTGTTCAGTGGACGCACAAATCTGCCGCGTCTACGAGGATCAGCGTCAGAGAACGAGATAGGGATCGATGTGCTCCCTTCCGGCCCATGGGACCGAAAATCTCACTGGACACACGCGCGCTTCCAACGACAACAACGTGTAAACCGTTCGGCCGGTAACACAATGGCGGGCCAGAGGCTCCGACGGAGCGAGGAAAATATATTGCTAATAGGGTTTCCAACATGGCCCGTTAGTCGAGAGTAATGCCTTACCACGAGGTGGCACACGTTAAGCTCATTTAACGAACCACCCTACTTTCTTTCTTTTTTCTCTCTCTCTCTCTCTCTCACATACACACACACTTGATTCACCATTTTTTGCCCTCTCGTGTTCGTGCTTCTGTGGACGTCGATTAGATTTATGGACTTCCATCGTGTGTCACGCGCTCGCTCTCTCGTCGTACCGTGCTGCCGTTTGTCCGGAGGATTGCAGCCGCGATAACCGCACGTGACCGTTTCGAGTTTCTCGATTAGGAACGTATTCTTCTTCACGAAGGAAATTGTCCGTCGTCGTTTTTACGCGCTTTCGCTAATTTTTTATCTCACGATGAGATGTGTTTCAAAATATATAATTTTGTTATATTTTCAAAAATATCTTGTTGTTTTACGAGCGTTTTTTATGCGAATAACTATTAAGCATAAAATGAATAATGCATGGAGTGTTCTCGCTTGAGCAAACATAGCGCGCGAAATAACTTGCTGAAACAGAGATATACAGGTCATAAAACTACACGGAAGTGGATACCGCCTCCAGTCTCGTCACGTTCGACAGGTACCTGGATGGCTCTTCGAAGTGCTAACGTCCTGTTTTGCTCCTTATTTCGTCGTCCGTGTATATATGTCACTTTGGCAACACACAGCCGTGTTTATGCGATTCGCGCACAAACACATCGGGTGCGCAACGTGCAACGGGATAATATTCAGTGTTTCTCACAAACACATGTTTCCTGTCGCATGCAAATTCTGCGCGATAAAGTAAGAAAATTTTTCGTAAGTGGGAAGCGATTAAAATTTCAACACCATTAACTTCTTGCTGCAAGATTTCTCGACAATACTGCGCGCTTTTTGTTGCCACGTAAACGAGAAAGATATCGCGACTTAAAGCGGCAAAAAAACTGTTTTCTTTTTACTTTGTAAGTTATATTTATCAAGGTTGCTCTAGACAATATAAAAATCTAGTTATTACATTAATGTAATTAGCAATATTACATTTTATATAATATTCTGCCAGTAATTGTAATTTTTATGCGCAATATGCCGTCGGAACTAAACGATACGTCTAGATACATATAAGCACGCTATTAAAATCCGATTGTTGTACGATTAGCGACTCTTGTTCATTGTATCTTACGTGTGAACTCCTCGATGAACCTTTGTGAACTCTGATGAACCCTTATGAAAAGGCTACTTTCTCCAGTTTATTCGCGTAGAATCTAGGTAACAAGAGATGTGCTTGATCCGAGACACCTCATATATACGACAGTACGCGTTCCGTATAATACGAGGGGTTGCATTTGCACGTGTGTGTGTGTGTGTGTGTGTGTACACAAACATCCCCGGGATGCACCTATCTCTTCCTCGCCACGAGCCGGATGCACCATTTGCGGGATATTCTCCGACGCTATCGGCGCGGGACGTGCTCGGGCGTGCATCCTTTCTCTCTCCCCCGTTTACCCCTTTACGAGAGCACGCCCCGCTATAGATTCAAAAGCATCGTCCGTTTTCCTACGAGCTACGGTACGTAGTTGCCACCCGGTGTACGCGCCGCGTGACAGCCGTCTATGACAATTACTATAACTCAGCGTCTTTCTTCTTTTTCTTCCGCTCGTTTGACGCCGCTTGTCCGTACCTCGAGCTATGATTGACTCAATCTCGGT